ACCACCAACAATCACCATGCGGACACCACCACCACCGTCTCTGTCATGATCGCGTGTCATGATCACCCCCACCACATACTAATTTAAATCCGCTCATATTTTATATTATCATTTTGAGTTCAATCTGACCATTGTTAAAAGTTTTTAGATTTTGTTGGTCTTAATTGGACTTATAAAACTCACTAAGAGGTTCATTAAATTTACTGGCAATGTTTAGTTCATTCTACTTTAATATCACAAGATGGGGCAAAAAAGAATTAAAAAAAGAATTTAGATTATAGATATGTAATCAGAATATCATTAGTTTAAGTGCAGGGAAGTGGTGATTTTTTCTTTTGGGAATTTCATAACCTATTCCCCAAATGTTTGGCGAGTTAGAACATCTCTAATAGTGCTGTCTAAAAAGTAAAAATGAAGAGTTAATTTTATGCTTTGTCTTTTTTGGGAATAAATTTTGCTTCCCTCCCATTTTTCCTCCATTATTTTATCAAACTTGAATATTTAATTGATCTTGCCATTTACCTCCCATCTTGTTTGGCATTTCAACCTAATTTGTCTAATCTATTGATCAAATTGCACCTAGTTTGAGAGCTATTGTACATGAAAGAAACTAAATGTTATTTTTTTTTGTCTATACATGAAACTAAATGCAAGGGATCGAGTTATTTTATATATGACTAGTAATTGTCCATGTCTGAAGGCATTGCAGTATTCGTAAAAAATGAACAAAAATGAATAAAAAATTCTCCAAAGCAACAACACATATACAAATACATTAGAAAAAAAAATACTAATAGAACCAAATCAAAGTTACAATCTTTAAGTAATAAATGAAATCAATAAAATTTTTCTTATATTCGTCACCATTACTGTAATCCAATTCAACAAACCTCCAAGCATAACTTTTTATTCAACTAGCAGAATAAATTGCAACATTCAACTGAGGCTAGGTTAAAGTCTTTCACTAAACACAAAAAACATGGTTTTCAGAATTCAAGCAGAAACACAACAACATAGAAAGAAAAACACCAAAAATGCATGTACTGGTACAAATTTCGATAAGAAGGGTTGGATAAAATCCTCTAATTACACCTAAATGCACTATGCCTGTGTGTGTATTAATGAATGTGGGTATACAATACTATTACGACTTAGAAAAAGCTAAAAAATCTCCAACACCCTTCCTAAAGAGGGAGGATAGAGATTGGAAAGAGAGGCGCTAGTTTCTAGATTCAGCGAATGAGCCAATGACTATTTTCCGTCTCTTTGGCGTTCTGTCAATCACCTAGTATGCATTGGTGGGTGGTCCCAATGAACCCCGAATCATATTGTGAATGCAAGCCGTAGGAGCAAACGGAAGCAAAATACAATCAAATATCAATGATAACCAACTCAACCATTCTTTCATTTGATGGGTTGCTTCTTTTATTTGATGGGTTTGGTGTATTGTGATAATCAACACCTCACTCATATCAATGATAACCAACTCAACCATTTTTGTATATCAATTCGAACAGCTCACCAAATGATAAGAGATACTCAGTTTATACCTAGTTCTAACTCATTGTCTTAAATGAAAAAAACATACCACACAACACTTCGAAATACTAAAAACTCGTAACAAAAATAAAAGGAAGCTTACATTTATACTGATCATATTTATATGATAGTTGAAAATGAAGACACAGAGCATGTATCTTTAAGGCACTTACTGGGACTACTCGTACAATGAAGAGACTCAGATCAACAAGCACGACTTCAGTCCCTGTCCATGTAGGGATGCACTGAGAAGAAAGTAGACATGTATTAGAGGTGTGTGGGCTTCTTTCTCTCAACAGTTGGTTAAACATTGATAGTGAATCAGAAAGTGGGAATGCACCTAATAGGTAGGGACAGAGGCAGAAGTGAGATTGAAATGATTTTCATGAGAGATTTTGGGGATAGAGACGTGAGAGATTGAGAGAGAGAGAGAGAGGCGTGATTCAGGCAAACAAAGGGATGAGGAAGAGAGATTTGAGAAAAGATAAAATCCTTGATAATTAAAAAAGAAAACGTCGTTGGGCGGGAAAACAAAATCCAATACTCATTGAAAACGTCATATCAATGTTTATGAGATGATTTGAATTATCTTTTACGTTGGGATTACGTTGTCTGTTGAATGCGTTTATATTTTGTATCAAAATGATCTAGACCTCTCTTTGTCTCTAAAATTCAAACTCAACTCTATTTTATTATATAGATATATGCATATAACATATATTGACCTCTATTCACATATTAGAGACTAATTTAATGGTCAAAGTCCAACAATGGTGATTTAAACCGACTGGAATGAGACCATTAGAAGAATTAAGTTAATCGTCATACTTTGTTATAGTGCTTGTGTAGTTTGACGGAAATTATTTTGGAGAAATCTTATAGTTTTAGACAGTGAAGATTTTAGATTTGTTCAGGACTTTTATCCAAGAGTAGAGAGTAAAAAAAATAGGGAAGAGAGTGAGTTGGTGTTTCTAAATGTAAAAAGTTAAATCGGACTCTTTATTTTAGAGAGTCTAAATAAAAAATCAAATTTTAGGAGTTTACAATCTAAAATAGAGAATTAATTGAAAAATGGAGTGCTTAATGAAGATAATCTGGGGAAGATTAACTCCAAATATTTAATATTTAGATAGTGATTTTGAATATCCGATTATATTTGAAAAAAAAATAATTTAATTTGATTTTAATACACAAGTGATTAAGTCGAGATTTTGAGAACTTTTTTTTTTTTTTTTGAGATTTTGAGACTTCGAGTCAACATAAAAACAACCCAATTTGCACTATACGTGTTTAACCTTAACTACACCATTTCAATCTAAATTATATAACCAAGATTTTGAAATTAAACTAAATTAGCAACCATTTTTTCATACTACTTCCCATCTAACTTGTATGTGATAAGAAATGCCCGTTAACGTTCATTGTGGCCCAAGATCAAATGTCACATGAGACTTATAAATTCTATTACTTACAACTTCCTCGTACATTAATTGGAATCAAAATTGTCTTTTATTCTGGGACCTAAATTATATACACCTACTTCATATTTGCACAAAATTCGAAGTACAAATATAGAAGTGTCAAACGTGTCGAGTTAAATGGATGACAAGTGAAAACTATATAAATCCGTATACGATACGTTTAATAAATGAGTAAAAAATCGTAACACGAATACGACCTGTTTAATAAACGGATAACACGACACGACCCATTTAATCCATTTAATTTTAAAAAAATTATATTAACAAATTTTAATACTACGTATCCTCTTACCTCAATCACGAGCCTTTCAACCATTCTTATTCAATCACATCATGGGAGTAAAACAAAATAAAAAAAATAATGTCAAAAAATCTATGTACGTATGGGTTTGAACATTGAATATTAAGTTAAATTTCAATTGAAAATTATGTGCTCCAATTGAGTTTGGATTTCAATTTATTCAAAGTGACCGAGTTGAACTCTTATGTTCGGTTTGGTACAATGAAAAAAATGGGAGAATGAAAAGTTATAACGATTGAAAGTTAAAGGGATAGATACCACATTATATTTGATAAAAAAAGAAAATAGAAATGATGAAAAAGTAGGTGAATGAGTTTTTCTTCCAACTCACCAAAATCAATCCCTTAAAAATTAGAAAAAAAGTGAATGTACAATTAATTATTTGTATTAAAATATATCTCATTTATCTATAGTCTATATATCCTTTGAGATATATATATATATATATATATTAATTTCATATATAAATATAATGACAAAATATATATTTATATTTTTAAAAAAATAAAAATAAAAATAAAAAATAAAAAATATTTTTCTTTCTTATCAAGCACAAAAAAAAATTATTTTTATTTTCATCTATCATACCAAAAATAAAGAAATAAAAATGTATCATTCCTATTTTCTTTCGTTAGAGGATAAAAAATGTATTCCTTATACTTTTTATCTTTTCTATTAAACGGAGCATTAATTACATCCTACCTACGAAGCACGGGTACTTCATTGAGGTCGGCGTATCCTTATCGGATATGATACTCGTCGGTATTCGAGAATACGTATCGGATACACCTCCTACGTATTCGATAATAATTAAATATTAGAATATTTCACGGATTTTTTTGTGTTCAAGCAATATATATAATTTTTGAGTTGAATTTTTAATATTTTCTTTTGAATTTACATACCATACAATACATTTATAAAAATTTATACTATTTTAAAGACACATGAGTATTTTTTAAATACTATTTATAATTACATGTCAACAGAGTATAAAATAAATTTATTACATTATAATTATAGAAAAAATTACTTCTAAATAAATTATTCAGTAAATATTAGGTTTGATTCCTTTAATTAATCACTTCACTTTGTGAATATATTATAGTGATATGATATATATTTTCTTCAAACTAAAAAGAATTACTAATTTTCTTTATTGTGTTAAAGAATTACCAAAATATATAAATATTATTCTGATTGAAAATAATAAAAATATTAAAAATATTTTATTATAGTCGTATCTTGATCGTACCCGTATTCTTCTTTTTTAAATTTTGTCGTATCGCTGTATCTATATCGTATCGTACTCATATCCTATATCCATATCCGTGCTGCATAGCATTCTACCCAAGTGTGCTACGACCAAAATTCATAATAGCTACTCAATAAAGATATAATTTTGAACAATAAAATAAAAAATAAATTTGGAACTCAATAATTATGAGCACAAGATTATCAATGAGTTTTAGTATTAAATCAAGTCTATTATCAATTCAATAGTCACAAATATAATACTTTTTTAAAAAAATAATATTATTTAGACATAAAAATATGACCTACCCAAATATACATGATCAATTTTTTTTTAATTAAAAAAGTAGATAATCCCCTATGCATCCGAAAAGGAATAACAAAAAACTAATTTCCACATAAAAACAGTAGAGTACGAAAAAGTTTCAAAGAAGACAGTCCAACATCAGAGCTACCTTCCAGATTCTCAACTCCACCCAATTCTCATACGGTGTCAAGTTTAAATCCAAACCCATAACTCTCTTGCTATTCGACTTATTCAAAACCGGCATCGGTACCGTCAACTGTTTATTCTCTGTCGCCAATCCTTCACTACTTGGCGCTGCCATCGCACGGTGAAGTCTCATGTGCCCACCAAGTGCTTGTCCTATTGGAAATTCAAGGTCACAAACGGAACACTTGTGTGTCTTAGAGTTCGATTGATTTTCTAGATGAAGAAGGTCCACTGTCAGTAATTTAGGTTTCTTGTGACTCGCTCGATGGCCACCGAGTGCTTGGAAGGATGTGAATTTTCTAGTGCAAGTCTTACACTCAAAAAGACGATCCGGATATGATGACATAGTCTGACTTACACGAGAGAGGAGCATCAAACCGTTGGCCATGGCCAGCGCTTCAACTTCTCCATCTTCTCTGCTTCTCTTTGCTGTCATGGTCAGTACAATATTATCCAAAAATAGTGTCTCAAAAAAAAAAAAAAATTCTATGTGAATATGTTTTTATGTCAAAGGTTTGTAACCTTGTAGAAGGCGAGTACTTTTCAATTTGTGTTTGATATTTATAAGTTGGAGTGGGACTGGTATAAGGAGTATGTACAATGACTGATTTGCCCTTGATTCTTGTGGAACACGAAAGGGTAGAAAATACTCATTATAACACTTAAGACTACATGCGATATAATAATCCACTAATAACTAAACTTAGTAAATGGATAAAATGAATTACACAATGTATTAAAATTTAATTATTATAACACTAATGTTATGTCCATTAAAATTTCTATCAAGATTTAAATTCCAAATCAATGTAAATCATAAAATTAGTGGACCCCATAAAATTTAACTAATTATTCAATGACTATTAACGTGTCACATTATTTTTAATTTTTTTTGTTACAAAATATTTGGACTTACACCGATTCCTCGTTCAGCTTAACAGCTCGCCACCATAACTTGAGGTGAACACCTAATTTTTCTTATGATAATGAATATTTACCGAAGAAAGTGAGCGTAGTTGCTGTTTTTGTATGGGGAACTTTTTAAGCGGTGCCGTCATGGCTTGCGAAGGCGTGTTAGCGTCAAAAGAGGAAGTGTCGATGGAGTATAAAGCTAAAAGCGAGTCTATTCTCATTGCTTGGGGTATAAGCAATGCTATGTCATCGAATCATTCAAAAAAATTAATAAAATTCACTTATTTAATACTCTCCGTTCATTTAGGATGCAAATTTAGGTTGGTTGCATAATGTTTTCCTTGGTCGACACTTCTTCAAAGTCTTTTTTGGATCGTTGTATTAGTACTGAAGTCCACGTGCAACTAAAGCGCGTGAATCTAAAATTGGGACAAAAATTTGAGGTCTTAATTTGGTAGGTGGCAAGGGTGTCCCTCAAGAGGTCTTGGATTCCCGTCGAATATTATTTAATATCCCTAATCAAAAATTTTCGATTAATGTCTCTTCGTTTTCAACTAAATTCACTCTCCATAAACCCCTTGTAAAATCAAAATACACATCATCCACGAACTAGTAAAGGAAAGTAAAAGATCTTCTAATTTTTGAAATATTTTTATAATATCAAATTTTAAAAAATAAAAAAATAACTTTCTTGAACAATACAAACTAAACTTGTTTTTAGTGTGAAAAATCAAGTTGTTTGTGTCTGACACTGTTTTGATTCATCTATTATACAAGTTAATTAGTTATATCATTTTTAAATTTGCGTAAAAAAAATTATCAATTCTGACTCATAAATTTTGTTTCGAATTCATGTGGTGCCTAAATGTATAGCTTTCACTCGAGTAAACTTTACATAGTATATATATATATATATATATATATATATATATATATATATATATATATATATATATATATATATATATATAGTTGAAACGTCAGATATGAGAATCTCAAATCGAGAGAGAAAAAAAAAATCTCAAATCGAAAAGGAAAGAAGTTGAAAAAATATTAAGGCCTGTTTGGTTTGCGTTTCAAAAAATAGTATCCAAAAATAATTTTTGAGAAGAGTTTTAAAAAAGTGGTTTTGATATTTTTTGAGATAAAAAACTTGTTTGGTTAGATGATTTCAAAAACAATTTTACAATACAGAAAATAGTAAAACCTGTTTGAACAAACTAAATATATATTTGAATAGTAATTCAAATATTAATAAAAAAAATTATTTTTAGATTGACAATTTCATATATATATACCTGAAGATTCAAAATTGTTCTCCTTATTTCCAAAATTTTTAAAGAAAACTCTGAAAACAAGTTCCACTTGTTTTCTATTTCTTTGACTTAAATCTCATTTTTTTTTTCAAAATTTAGAGAACAAAAATGCTAAACAAATAGATTTTTGGTGTTTTTAAAATTTTGGGAACAAAAAACTGTTTCCGAATCACAAACCAAACATGACCTTAATATTTATTGAATAAGTTTATTAATGACCAAATCAAATAGGAAATAAATTGAAAGAGTTTTAATATGCTATCAACAGATACATTAGACATGCGGTAAGAAACATAAAAACCAAGTTGGTATTTGAATAGATTTGGCTACACTATTTTATTTCTATAAATAAGGTTAAATATGATGTACCAGACAATCAATTTTCCTGTGAATAATATATCGATATAAGTTTTTAGTTTGTAAATGTAAGTATCATGTAACAAGATGGTTTATATGTTTATGTTACATTTTTATTATTTTTTCTATCATAAATTCTTATCTTCTAATGAATATTATTAGTGTTAATTATCTAGTGAACAAAACTAACATATATAATTGACCAACTTTTATTTTCAAAAAAAAAAAAAAATTTGACCAACTTTTTTTCATTGAAAATAAACTTCAAAAGGAGCTTTGGTTATGGTGCACACTCTGCAGTCCAACGTACACGCGCTCTACTGCACGTGGGCAAATACTTCAGATTGTTGAAGTACGAAAGCAACAAAATAAAGGTGAGGTAAAGAGAGCGTGATACATCAAGACACGTCATGGGAGGAAACGTAGCTACCAAGTCGTCGCACGACAAGATAGTAAAACATTTGTGCAATTATTGCTATCTTACTACCAAATTTACTTTGCAACTTCGTCTTTCACACTCCCCAGTACCTTTTCTTGTTCTTTTTTATTATTTTTTATTTCGGCAAGTCAGTGGCGTTTCTTAGACCCAAAGCTTTTGTTGTTTTTTTAATGGAAACACAGAATATATACATATTGGGATAGTCTGGATAAGAGAGACTGTATTAGAAAATGCATGACATTTTTGGATAAATGGATAATATTTAATATTAAACAAGGGATAAAAATAATACCAATTATAGTCAAGTATTTGTTAAATACGGCATTAAGAGTTTGATAATAAGTATCAAGTCTAATATAATGTTTGATTATGTAATTTATTCAATTGGACTAAAATACCCTCAATCATTTCTAATTTTATAGTGATTTAATATTTCCTAGGACTATAGCAATTAGAACCAAAAGTTATATAAATATTACTTATTAGGAATATTTTTAAATAATATTAAAATTAAAAAAGTATGCTTTAATTACGTAAAAGTGTATTTTGGATATGCATTTGTTTATTATTAATTTCGTTGTTTATCATTATCCATGTAAACAACAAATGAGTTATATTTTTTACAGGTTGTCCATATGAGAAGGGCGTTGGGTCATTGTAAAAAACTTAATGGTTGGTTTTTTATGAAGTCAAGATGTCTATGATAAGGACATCAGTGAATTGTTTGTTCTATTATAGGTACATGCAAACTTATGTTTCATGTTCGTGCAATTGTTTATTTTTTTTATAAGTTTTAATTTAATGTCAAATATATGAGTTAATCTACATCTATTTTATTTTTTTATGTAGTTGTGGGCATGAGAGCGTTTATCACATATACGTCCACAGCGATTACTCCCACGTGGCCCATTACCTGATATCGTGGCGAATGGAGTAGATGTACATCCAGACGCTGGGTCAATAGATGGTGTAGGATTTACATCTGAACCGGTACATGGTCCTACACCAGATGTAGGATTTACATGATGACTTGCCAACAAGGCCTCGTGGATGTAGGTAAGACAATAGTGGTGTCTTACATTTATTATTTATTAGTATTATATAGTACGACATTACTAATTTTATTTTTGTGCTATGTAGTTGGAATGTTGCATTTTTTGAGCAACACATGCCTACCTATGTGCTTAGACATTATAGAGATCAGCTTGATCTGATGCGCGATGAGCAGATATACAATTGATCGTTGTTCTTATTATTGTTTGATTATTGCCAAACTTTTTAATTTTTTTGCACGTCTAACAAAAATCGTTATTCTTATACTACAGATGATATGGAAGCCTTTCACTGTTGACATGCTGGCTGACCTACCTGATTATTACTTGCGTGGTCGAAAATTATAGACTGCCGGGGCCCCGTTCATATGTTTCGATGTGGTGGAGTGGTATTTTTCAGACCGTGTTCTGCAATAGTTTGGATGTAGGTAGCCCATACCAGTGTTATGTGATTCTAGTCAGGAGTTGCATGCCACAAATAGGCGTGGTAGACATGGTCATGACTAGACAATCGCATATCAGCAGTACATCAACATGTGGGATCAGCGGTGGGATTGTATTTTTCACGACAAGCCTACGCTCGACTTGATGGATGTCACTAATCCCTATATGGAATGGTATCAGCGCACTACTCGTCTACTTATCGGACCAACAATGTTGTGCCCTGACGTTGGTTTTCAGCTCGTCGACAGTATCATTGAGCTGTTGGTATATGTTGTTTACTTGGTAGATAAATTAAATACGGAAATGAAATTACATAATCTCATTTTACTTCCTTATTTTTATGGTGTTGCAGGAACAGACACTGACATAGGTATATCACACAGCTCGTGATACTGTTACTAGGGAGCCTGATTTGGGAACATGTTTGGCAACCATCAGCCAGATGAGGAATCTCAACTATCGGTGTTTTTTAGCTCTTTTTAAGCACCAAAGATTTATGCAGCCTCTGACACACGTTCAACAGCTAGTTTGTTGCAGTACCAGTGCATCCACGACAGTGTGATGTACGCATTCCTCAACGACTAGCTACACGCGCACATGGGCAAACTCCCCCACCGGTTGTGGATACTACTGCGACATCATCTGAGGCAGGCCCATTGGTTGCATATGTTCCCCAGACTATTGCAGATTGTCAATCTACCCCATATGTCCCAACTGTTGATTACGATATTCCTACACCGGTCTTAACCATGCCGCTACATCACTGCTTGATCTTCCTATAGTTACATCATATGGGCCACCATTGACCTCACCAGGTGTTGATGCATCGACGACTCCATTCACACCTTCACCAGAGCCAGTTGGTACAACATATACATCACTTCCACGTGTAGGTGTGTGTATTCCACATATTGTT